CAATTCAGAAAACATTATAACAAGTCAGAAAACACAATGAAAAATCCGAAGAGGTAGGTATAGTTTGAGATAGTTTGGTTTGGGATTACTCATCGCTGACTGGACGAGACATCTGTCAATCAACGTATACAGAGCAGAACCAGCGGTGAGTAATCCCAAACCAATGGTGCTGTCTCAAACTATACCTACCTCTTCCGGTTTGTCTGATGTGTCGTTGTGTTTTCTGACTTATTTTGTTTTCGAATTTGTCGTTGTGTTTTCTGACTTGTTATAATGTTTTCTGAATTGTTGTTGTGCTTTCTGGATTGTTATTTTGTTTTTTAGACTTGCATTTGCGTTTGTAATTTGTTTTGTTTTCAGAATTGTGATTTGCTTTGCACTTCTCGGCCACCGTATAAAACACCTGTGATTCACAAATACTTGCTAAGGAACTCGCATTCACATAAAGTAGCCTTGTTGACAAGTTTGGGTGAGTAAGGGCAAAACGCAGTACTTTCAGTGACCTGTAACAGGCAGCATCACGTCTTTTGTAGCAGAAATAAACTGCTGCAGAAAAAGCTAGGTCCATGCAAAATGTAATGTGTAACTGCAACACTTTTCAAATGTAGTGGAGTAAAGAGTACAGATACTCATTCAGAAATGTAGTGAAGTAGAGAGTAAAAGTTGCTAATATCTTTGATACTCAGTACAACTACAAAGTACCCGAAAAGATACTCCAGTACAGTAACTAATTACATTTACTCCAATACTTTACACCTCTGCCCACACCTGAGTAAACTAGCCAGGAAGCATCAGGAAATGTTGTGACATGCCAACGCACAGGTTTAAAACCTACCAAAGTCAATATGCTAGTTTTCCTGGCAAAAAACCTGGAATAAAATAGCTTTCACAGCACATATGGCATTGCATTGTGCTAAAACATAGGTTTGCATGTTATTACTCTATTTTATTTATGTGGATGTTGACAAGATGTTAGTATTTCCACTACATACCAATTTATTTAAGGCCTGTACACTTTGTTTAATAGTATTTTTTTATTTAATTTTTGCTTAATATTTATTTTTATTTAAAAGAAAACAGGCAAGGCAAGGAAATATTTTGTTTAAAAGATGCTCTTGTTTTAAGATGCTCTTGATGATTGTATGGTTACATTTGAATAAAAAGTTATGTTTGAGAGTAATGCATTTCTTGTGTTTGCAGGTCTATGGTAACAGCAAACCAGAATATCTGCCGAGGTTTTCAGTCATTCGTAGTGTTTTAAAGTCTAAATGTTTGCACCTTACTTGACAGGTTTTTTTTTTTTAGCCTGAATTAGATTTAATTAGATCAGAAGATATCTATTACCTGTTTATTTTAGTTACATATATAAATTATTTTTAAAAATAGCTAATAAAAACAGCATTTCTCTAGGGAAATGTTATATCGCAAGAAATATCGTTATCGCAATATTCAACAACAATATCGCATATTTTCCCAATATCGTGCAGCCCTAATAGAAATATTGCCTTGACAACTATCTGGAATATATTTAAAGAAAAACTACTAAAATGACAAAAGCACACAACCAAATTGTTTAAAATATAAACAGAATAAAAAAAAAAATATAACAAAATATTAAAATTAAGGTAAAATATTAATTATATTAAGAAATATATAAACATAAAAAATACAAAAAAAATATTTCTCTCTCTCTCTCTCTCTATATATATATATATATATATATATATATTTTAGGGGTGTAACGGTACACAAATATGACGGTTTGGTATGTGCCTCGGTTTTAACGTCACGGTTCGGTAAGATTTCGGTACAGCATTTTTTTTAATGGTTTACTGAACAACTTGCTCTTTCTTTAAATACATTCAGTTATAGTTTAAATGTTCTTAGTGATAAAAAATCTACCTCAGCTTATGCTTGAAACTATAGGGAGCCCTTTTACATTATAAGGTTATAATTAGGCCTAACAACTTAACCCAAACTTAAATTTAATTACCATTTATTTTTAAATAGATGATCAACACTCAACTTTAAAAAATAAATAAAAATAATTGTATGCAAACATGTAAACTGCACATAATGCAGTTTTTAAATTAATTTATAAATAATAAAATTTCTAAGCTATTTGTTAAAATATATTCAATTACACAATGGCTGTCATAGCATGTTTCATAACAGATTAATTTAAACATACTGTACGTTACATAATTAAGACGAACAGGTTTAGCCAAATATAATGAGTATATGGTGTAATATTTAGCAAAATGCTTCTCTCTAGACTTCATTTCTCTAGTGAAATAACGAGCTGTGGACACTGATGACTTGCTGAGGTAAATTAAATGCTACGTGACATTTTATTTCCACGCTGTAGTATTGATTGTCTTTCCGCGGTTGAAACACTGATTGAGCAATTACATGAGGCATGAGATGTTCAGTCATGTTTATTCACGTTAAAACTAATAGTACAGAGGAAGGAATGATCTCGTTCACTCGTGCTCCGCTCTGCACAAATCAGCGGGGCGTCACGGCTCAGACACGGGAACCGGAGCTGATCGCGGCCGCTCTAGTCAGAGCTTGGGTTGGGATTATACCAGCACATTTCTAAACCATTCCAGAAGCGGCTCTCCAAGGCGTTTATACAGCGATCTGTCATGCCACATAAAAGACGGTCAAAACGGCATTTATTATTTGAATTTCCGGAGAAAACAAAAACACTGTATTCGTTCAGTTCACATGCGTACCGAACCGAAAGACCCGTACCGAAACGGTTCGGTACGAATACGTGTACCGTTACACCCCTGATATATATATATATCTCTGTCTACAGTATCTATCTATATACACACACTCTAGGGATGTGCGGCTCTAGTCGACTAAACAGTACAGCTCCTGCTAGTCGACACTGAAAACAGTCGATTACACGACAGAAAAAAACTAACTGGATTTTATCATTCACTTTACCGTCATTTTAACATTGCATTTAAAACATTTTAAATAACAAGTTAAAATAAAACGTTTGAAAAATAACATTATTTGTAAAAGTTTATCTGGGCGGAAACTACATTTTTATCTCAGACCTCACATGCGTTTTCTTCGTGTCAGCTGCGGCGAGTTAAAAAATGACCACGCGAAAGACGAGAAGGTGTGGGATGATTTTAAATTAGAGGGAAACGGAAAAGTTTTGAGTAAACGGTGTAATGTCAAATCAGTAGGAGGAGCTAATACCAGTCTTGAAGCTCCGCCTCCGGCTCCTCCTACAGCAGCACGAGCTGCCACCACGCCCATTTTCCTGCACAGACACGTCCCCTCGTTTGCGCCAGTCGGCCGCATCCTCGATGTCAGCAAATTTGGACGGGTCGAGAACCCACACGTGGGCGGGGCCACAGCCGGAGCCACGCCCACCAGGTCTCCTCTTGAAAATGAGATCCTGGCAACTGCGTCCCATTGGTGGGAGCGAACACTCGTCCTGGAAATTGATGGGAGAGGGCGGGGCTTTCAGCAGCTTGGCTCTGTGATCCGGGCCGGATGTCGTTAAATCGCCCAATCCCAGTGACAGGATCTTCAGTGTGCGGTCCGTGATTTTGTCGCATCCCGAGAGATCTAGCCGCTCTAGAGTACGACACGCCCCGAACTCCGCCCAGCTGGAAAAACACAAACGGACGTGTTGTGAGATTCACGAGGGCAAACGGGCTCCACAAAAAGACACAAATCAGAAGGCGAGCCCACCTGTCGAAGGCAGAGTCGGAGATGTCAGTCTGCGTGAGATCCAGGTGAGTCAGGTTTGGGCACAAACTGAGGATCTGTCGCACCTGGATGGAGAAATCAGAGTATTTATTTACTTATTTAAATGGCGTAACAGCATCAAGGACTAACTACATTCACGGAAAAATAGTTACAAACAATAACAACATACAATTACATTTATTTCAAAATGACAAATACAACTACATAAAATATAGTTAACTGAAATATAACTCAATTTCATGGAAATATAATATAAAATGTAATATAAATTTAAAAAATGTATTTAAAAATATATTAATTACATTTAATAGAAATATAATTTTTTAAATAAAACCTAAAAGTTTATATAATTTTTTTTGATTAACTTTAAAAACAACTATTACATTTAATAATAATAAAAAATTAACAGCAGGATTGATATAATATCTATATTTTATAGAAATATAATATAATACTATTATAGCATAATATTAACATAAATACATATTTTATTATATATATATACACCTATTAATTAATTTTATTAATTAAAAAAAACATACAAAAATAATAATAATAGCAAAAAGCAGGACAGACCAGAAATAACCAGAAATTTCTTTCAGAAATATTATATAAAAACTATTTCACAGACATTTAATATAATAATAAAATATAAATAATATAGTATAATGTAAAATATAATAACTAACTATTATAACTACTATTTAATTAAATATTATAATAAAAAAAATAATAATAATAATAATAACACTGAAAGCAGGACAGATCAGCAAAATATGCTTAACGGCCAAGGTTATCTTACAAAAATATAACCATATATAAATAATATAGTATAATATAAAATATATTATATTCATTATTAAATTAGATTTTACTTTTAAACATTTAAAAACATTTAATTAAATGTTACACTGAATAACACTAAAAGCAGGACAGACCAGCAAAATACGCTTAAGGTAAATTACTGTATTGGCCCGAATATAAGACGACCCTGATTATAAGACGACCCCCCTTTTGCCAGATGCACCTTTTGGAAAAAGGTTTTTTAAAAACCAAATCTTGTCTTTTCTCAGTAACACACATTTTGTCTTCAATTATTTTCATATTGCATATTTTTCCTATTTTAATTTTTGTTTTGAAAGTATGGTAAAAACTGGTCAAATGTACCAACAATTACATTTAAAATATATACACTTTTTGATATACCATAAAACAAACAGGTAGCCCATCTGAATCAGGACATTTAGGCTATCCGTCTAATAGTAGCCTACCACAATCTTATTAACAGTAGAAGTTAAATCTTACTGTAGTCTTCAAATCTGGGTACCGTCTTACGTTTTAAAATCACAAAGAGTTTGGTGCCATCAGGCTAACGTGACCATCACGACTTCTTTTTCATTTGTTTTTACTCGCGATCTTTACAACACGCATTACATTACGTATTTCATGGCACACTCGTTTTACGCGTATGTGGCGCCACCTGTTGTTGTGGGTGTATTATTGACATGTCAAAGTCTAGACCCTGAATATAAGACCACCGCGTTTTTTCAGATGTATTTCCAATAAAAAAACATCGTCTTATATTCGGGTCAATACGGTATAGTTCCCAAATTATTTTTTTTTAACTAAAAAAAACTATAAATTACATTTAAATTTAATAATTAGAAAATATAATTATCATAATATAAGATAATTACATTAGACTGTAATTCCCAAATGAAACCTATTTAAAAAAAAACTTAATTTAATTTAATAATTATAAAAAAAAAAAATAAAAAAAAAAGCAATAAACATTTATTCTTTTACAAACATTAGCAAATTATCTTACAAAAAAACCCACTGTCGCTCTTCACCTTTTAGTAAGCACACATGTAACTCTTAAATAGTTTTTCTGCACACAGTTTAGTCATGTGTAATTTCAGCGGAAGGATCTTTCATAATCCGGTTATATTTGACAGCACATGTACGCACCATCTTGCTGGAGACGGCTGAGCTGTAGGCCAGACTGAGCGAGCGCACAGACGGACCGACGGCGGGCAGCAGGTTCTGGATCATCCCATTGAGCAGTCTCTTCTCTCTCTGAACCGCACTTATGGCTGGAGACTCCTCAGACGCCTCCTCTGAACACACAGAGTAACACACGTCTGAGCTGCGGCCCGGAGGATCATGGGAAGAGCAGCTCTGAGCGGCGAGGCGAGACTCACCCGATTCATCCACGTCTGCGTCCTCGTCCCAGTCCTGATAGGCTCGTCCCTCGTCCTGCAGACTCTTCACCCAATCTTCATCCGGCTCCTGGCCCGACTCACCCGGAGGACCACGGTAATAATCACCTACACACACACAGACACACACACACACAGACACGCACACACAGAGAGACGCACACACAGAGAGACGCACACACAGAGAGACGCACACACAGAGAGACGCACACACATGCACACACGCACACACACACACAGAGACGCACACACACACACACACACACACACACACACACACACACACACACACACACACACACAGAGAGACACGCACGCACGCACGCACGCACGCACGCACACAGAGAGACACACACGCACACACACAGAGAGACACACACACACACACACAGAGAGACACACACGCACACACACACACACACACAGAGACGCACACACACACAGACACCAACACACAATTAACAACAACACTGAGGCATACTGTATGCCACAATGCAATGTCCTCAACTATTTTTATATGATCTTTTCTATTAAACTACATTAAAATGATCAAATGTAATAAAACTGCATTAAAATGTAAAATAACTCATGACATTAATGCAGTTTTAATTAAACTTTAATTAATAAAAAAAAGTTGAAAAAAACTTAAATAATTCACTTATGCAGTTTACTTCTGTTTTTAATTGAAGTTGTATAATGAATTTAAAAAATATTTAAAATAAATTATTAAAAAATGTCAGTAATGTAGTACACTACTGTTTCATTCATTTAAAGTTTTAGAATTAATTATGAAAAATAATTCTATTATAAAATATTTAAAAAAGCAAATTATAAAAAAAATTCCCTAATGTAGTACACTACTGTTTATATTCATTTAAAGTTTTAGAATTATGAAAATAACTTGTAAAATATTTAAAAAATGTCTACATTAAAACTAATGTAGTACACTACTGTTTTTTTAGTACGCTTTAGAATTAATTATGAAAATAATTCTATTATAAAATATATATATTTAAAATAATTATAAAAAATGTCAGTAATGTAGTACACTACTGTTTTATTCATTAAAAAAGCTGGTAGAGCAGCTTGCTTATGGCCAAAATCATAATCACAATAATTTTGATCAATACTAAGATCACAATTATTTATCACAAACATTTTTACCGCTGTATCATCTAATGCTACATTCATGTGAAATGACAATAACAATACAATAATAGAATAAACAATGAATACTAAAAATAATAAAATCATACAAAACATAATAATAGAATATACAATTAAATTTCTTAAAAAATGACAACTATATAAAGATGTAAGAAATATAAATAACAGTAAAAATAAATTTAATTTCAAATAATTATATGAATATATTTTTATTCTGTAATATTTATAATTTAATATAATTACTCACTGACTTTGAAATCATGCATCTATTGAGCTTATTTTAACTCGTCTTTTTAACAATGGGAATAGAGTAGATCTTTATTATCATTGTTAACGGGCTTCCTTAACTTAATATAATTCAATAATTTCATGTAATTATACGTAATATTTTTCATTTAGAATATTTATAATTGAATATAGTTAATATACTCACAGACTTTGAAAGCATCATGCATCTAGAAAACTTTTTTTTAACAGTGTCATAGTAAAGTCGGCTGTTCATGCCGGCTTCATTGTGGCTCATTTTATGACCCAGGCTTCTCTGCACTTCCTGAAGTGAAGTAATAAAGCAGACGGAGCTGCAGCGCACCTCTAGCCCAGCGGACGGGGTACAGGTGTCCCCACAGAGATCCGGTCTTGGCCACCTGAGCCCAGACGCTGCACACCTGTCCACAGCGGCACAGATCCTCCGGCCCCAGAAACCTGAAGACCCTCAGCAGCAGCTCCTGCGGCAGCACCGAGACCGTGCCCCGCTCTGAGAACACAAGCCCCAGCAGCAGCGCTTACACACAACTTCTGAGAGCAGCAGCACGCTTCACAGCTCACATCACTCACAGGACTCAGCTGCTCCTCCGCTGAAGCAGAGGAGATTCAACTCCGAATCAATAAGAGCACAGCATGAAAACATTCAAAATATCGAATCCGTCCTACATTATTTTCAACTAAGCATTCACGCAGAAGTATGTCACATTGTACACTGTGCATGGCAGATATTAGGACAGCACGATTTGGGGAAAAACGTAATTGTAATAAAAAAATGCAATTACAATTTCAGATGCATTTATAAAAATCAATAAAAAAAAAAAGTAGTTATTATAATGGTAAAAATACCTTTTTAAAAATATTTCATCAAAAGGAAAACCTTTTTAAACTCAGAAGGGGTGACAAAGTGGCATGAAATTAGTTATTTTTGTATTATTATTATTATGTTTATGGTTTTATTGTAAACAGGACATCTGTGCTAGAGCTGCTCAATTATGACAAAAATCATAATTATGATTATTCTTGTCAATATTAAAATCTTGATTCATGATTTTAAAATGCCCCTATTATGCCGTTTTTAAGGTTCCTGATATTATTTTGGAGTCTAAA